TTATCTTACTGTGTTTGTAGATAGGGCAAAAGGATTAAGCGTTTTGAACGATGAAACTATCGTATAAAACCACGCGTGCTTGACCTATTACAACTTTTGTTTACTGGAAGGCTTGCTCTCCAGTTTTGTGTTGCTAAGCGGTATCCAAGCACGTGACCACTAGCTGCAAAGGGCCTATTCCACTAACCATCGGTGCTTTCCTACTTTAGTTCGCTGAGCTCAGATAAGTGTGATCAGTCTAAAGCCACTCATGTTGACTTTTTTTAGGCTACATCTGGGATTTATCTAATTAGGTCGGATTTATTTCAGCAACTGTTTAATGTAAACTAAAGATTAGATAGGTTCCACGTAAAGCACATTCACTTACCTCTGAGTCATCATGGGGTTTTCCACGAATAAAATCAACTATGCTTTCCCCATAAAAGAAATAGTTTGAACAGCAAAGAAAGTACCTAGAAAGAATGAAGAAATGTCAAATAGACGTGCAGGTACAGTATATAATTGCTGCCGTTTCAATTGATAATTGCTGATAAAAAAATCAGGCAACAGACCCCTTGCAGCACGTTGGATGCATCTCTATTTGGAGGTTTCAAATTCTCAGGAGATTGTATTAGTACTGTACTGACTATAGTTGTTTATAACAACTGGGTTCGTACTTTAGAAGAAGATTATAAAATTCCAGGAGTCTTCCAGGGTATAAATATAACAATTTCAGGACCCTTAACTTTAAAATTTCATGTCAGAAATAGTGACACATTTTTCCTTTAGAACAGGTGACATACTAAGTGTTGGTAGAAAAAACATTTATACTTTTAGAGTACTCACACTAAATCCATGAAACAAATACTAATTTTTAGCACTAAATAGTGATAATTTAAACAATAGAAAACAAAGGATTCTGTATGAAATAGTACTATAGTACTATTCAATGTTCACGGTTTTAGTGCGTGCACTCCAATTTCATTTGTCCAATATTTAGCCTAATGCTAATAGAAATATCAGGGACTTTTCCAGGAGTTGAGTCAAAAATCAAATTTTCAAGGAGTTCCAGAGTTTCTAGAGCCCTGGAAGAAATTTTCCAAATTCCAGAAGCTTTCCATGAGCAGTGCAAACCCTGTATTAAAGGCAATTATTATTAATTATGATGATTATTTAGGCACAAATGGCATTTCTTACCAACTAAGCGATCTAAACCATGGTAGATTGTATTTCTTATACTTTTGATAACCAATGGAAATGACCTCATGGAAGCATTTGATTTGTAGACATTGTACCTGCAAAAAACAAAATGCTTATAAAACACAAACATTTGCATTATAGCCTCATTATCAACAACTACCCCTTGCACACTTTCTTCATATATTTTATTACAATTTTATCTTATACTTTCTTAAAATATTTTATAAAAGAAATATAAGAAGCCTGCTTATTATGTCTCTTTACTGTGATATAAATACGAAACACGCTTGGAGCTAAAGAGCACTCAAGAGGCAAGAGCAGTTGACACTAAGCTAAGCTTGCTTATCTCTTGCTCTACAGCTCCCAACATGTTTATATCACAGTACAGAGCATGCGCATATGTATACATTATACTACTTAATTAGTGATCATCATATCTCACTGTAATTATAATTCCTAGAGGCCCAGTGTACATGATAACATAAAACCCCCCAAGCATAACCAGGGTGAACATTCCCCTGATCCACCAGTTCCTCCATTTGGGCTGCATGTTTGATAGCACTCCAGGGAGCTCTGCCTCTTTTGCAGGGGCTGATTCTTCAGTCTTATCTTTGGCCTCCTGTTATCACCAAGAAAAATAATAAACAGTCACATTATTTAACAACAGTGACGCTGTTTGTTATTTGGCTGAAACCATTTGATCCATTCAATGACTTTTTATTGAGAACAGATCTTGACAATGGTAATCTTTAGATTTTTTAAGTCCACAAATATACAGACTTGTCTTGGGATGCATAAATAAGTATCAAAAAAATAGTCTGACAGTCTGTCAGTCAATATATAGCCTATGCCTGTTTTATCAATTTTCTATGTATGCCTAAATAAGAGTAGGTGAAATATTTAGGCTGCTCTCATGAACCATTCACTACCCCCAGAGCACAATGCTTGGATGACGAGGGGGCAGGGTGGGGAGTCCTAGCCCACCTAAAGCCCTGAGAATAAGATAAAGAAATATCCAAAAAATATGGAAGACTCACTTGTGGTAAAGTATTCTTTTCCATTTGATCCTGATCCTTAAGGTCAAACAAATTAAAAATGCCATTATAACTCCAGAAAGTATTCAATATTTTTTTGAACAATAAAATGAAGTCTGCATGGAATATAAATAAGCATTAAAATCGTAACATCAAAAATTTAATAAAGTAATACTACAGATTTGACCCTAATTTTAGCTGTTCTTCTATAAATGGGAATCATTAGTTGGATTCTCGAGTTAACCTCAATATGATAATATGAAAATATATATTTCGAATTCGAAGATGTATTAAATCTTTAATCAAGAGAAAAAACTCATTAAAATACAACTCAAAACATTACACGATTTCTAAGTATAATTTCCGACAAGATCTTTATGAGCTAACTCAAATTTCTGAGGGCTTTTATAAATATTTTGATGATTAAAAGACAAGATCAAAACCAAAAGCTAAGGCATCGCGCGCGTGTTTTGCGGCCCACCAGAAATATGTAATCTTGGAATTCCACCATTTATGGCTTTTTAAGCGATAGCAAAAGCTCATTTAAGATAACTAAATGTTTCTCGGTCGACCAAAATAAAGTCTATGTTGTTATTTTTCTCGTTTTTTTAAAAAAAAGGTGTCGGCAAAATTCGTGTTTATGCTCACAACAACAAGCTTGTCAAACGATTGATCTTTGAGTTCGGCTTGTAARACATCAAAATAAGACCAACAAACGACTTCGATCTCGCTTAAGAACTTTTCTTAGATCTCTTAGATGTCGGTCTTCATATCGTTATTATAATTTTTCGAAGTTAAAGCGGAAGGTAGCCGTAAAACGAAAAGAACGTTTACCTTTGTACCCTCTACAAAACTATCGGTGACACCGTCTTTAGCTCTTCGTCTCGCGCCGTTTGAATCCATTCCTTTTCAGAATTAGTCAAAAAAAATACCTCCTGGACTATTGCAAAGAGAATGCACGTCTCAATATTTCGGCATGGTGCCGTTACAAGTTAATGAAGACACCGAAAAACACTTGTTCTTGTTGAGAATAGGAGAAGTATGGCGAATGACTGATTGTTGTTGATGGATTGATGGATGTGAAGCATCATGGGAGACGAGCCAGGTGTAAAGAAGAGAGACCTTGAGCAACCTTGATTAAAACAAGGTGTGGCCTCATACTGTACAATCAGATCTCCAAGCTAGATAATTATTGCAGTAATATAATGTAAGTGCTGTCAAATAAAGCATACTATTGCTCTAATAGATGTCGAGACATTGCACTTAATAACTCTCCCTAGGACATTTTTATATGAATTATTTCAGAAATATGGGCAAAATTATCCTGAGAATTGAGGGCCCTGAATTACTTTGAAAGGTTTCTTCTCAAGAGACATCAAGAGAAGGATTTTGAGACTTTTCATCAATTTTTCCAGAAGAAAGGGGTTCTAATTTTTTGTGCAAAAAGGTGGTATGGAGCAAAAATTGGAAGATTTTGCCCTTTTCCCTTCTCTTCTTTCGTCCAAGGTCATTACTGCTATCAAAAACATTGAAAGATTTCGTGACCAAAGGACCAATCGTTTACCGAAACAAAGTGTTAGACCGTATTCAAAAGAACATAATATATTTTGATAACAGAGAAAGTAAAGTTTAGTGGTGCGCTTTAATTTTTTTTTTCTTGAAAATTCGAAATATTTCTTCGTCATTTTTGTTTAAGCACAAGAAAAAGTAAAAAAATTGAAAAAAAAACAGGAAGGAAGAAGGGAAGGAAGGAAAGAAGGAAAACACAGGGAGCCCACGCTCCTTGTTATTACTAATATAACCGCTGATCTTACATGTGCCCACGTGCTTGCCTTCAAAATGGCGCCGACTTCAGTCAAACTTTTCTTTTGCCTTCTTTCCCTTTTTCCTTCTACAATTCAAGCCCAGCGACAGCACAGTACCCTTAATATGCCTCAGATCCTTCTTCCCTACCTGGCTACAGGCACTGTTCCTGTTAATTTTACGCTAAAAGCAATGGACGGTTGCTACACATGGTGAGTGTTGTGTTTCCCGCCAGTATGAAAATTTCATCTTTTTGAAACTATCTTCGTTCGTTTTCCTCAATTTCTAACGTATATGTGGTTGTAGGTCATCAAATAGACCCGAAGTGGCGACTGTTACTCCTATTTATTTGACTGAGGAAGACGAAAATGGTAAGAAATGTTGGATGATGTTGAGCATAATATCGTAAATTATCAAGACCGAGGCTGTGTTATCTGCCGAAGCCGTAGGCTGAGTCAGATAACAAAGCCGAGGTCTTGATAATTTACGATATTATGCAATAACTGAATTCAATAATTGCTTTATTATACATTTTGTATGCTGGAAAAACATTAACATGAACATTAAATTATAGAGACAAGAATTATGCCATGATGTCGCGTGAAAAACGCAAAATTCTTAATTCAGAAATACTTAAAGAATTCTTCATAAAATATATGAAAATAGGTTAAGGATTCCTTAAATAACTGCTTTTGTACATAATTCTGGAAATAAATACACATGAATAAAAACAAAGCTACCACAGCGTGACCTTGAATGAACTTGACATGATAAATGTATTATCTGTAGGAAAACCTACAGATAATACATTTATCATGTTGAGTTCACACGATATCAGGGATTGGCTGAGGGCTCTCAACCAATCAGAATTGAGATACTTAGTAAAATGTATGATAATAAGCTTTATACTAGCTGTGATACTTGATGTATGACAAATCATGCACCCTTATAAACTTGATTCTCTAAATACTAGTTCTCTAAAGTTCTTATTTTTATAAAGTCCCCAGATAAGAGGTTATGGTTACTGTAACTGTATTCTCTTATCGGGGACCCTAAACTAAAAACTTTTACTACTATTGAGAGAATCAAGTTTAAGTGTGAAATAAGGAAGTTGTCTGTCTGTGCTAAAAGAATGACAATATACCTGCAGCTGCAGATACAATATCTTAAAAATCACAGTTTTAAGAATTCTTTACTTAGTTTATTGAAACGGTTTTTATACATTTATTATTAAGCCTATAAAGGCTTTGCACCATCACGTTATGGCAGCCATGACACGAGGCACAATAATAGAATATTTTCCCCTGTGAAACTGAATTCTTTCTCATGTAAATTAGATTAGACCAGATTCAATTGTTCCTGCCTCCTGTCATGGCTGCCATTACGTGATGGTGGAAAGCCTCTATAGATATGGGCATAATTAGCAAAGGTACATTTAATGTTATTGTTGGGGGAGGGGAGGGAGAGGGGATGGAGGACTGAGGCTTCAGAGGGGAAGATCATCAGTAAAGATTTGAATTTTTAATGGAGGGCCAAACCTTTTTATTTTGTTGAAAGCTGTTCCTTGTTGTCCAAATAGGAGGGTTATGAATTTCTAACTGAGTGAAAGAGAGAGGGATAGAACCACTTTTTGAAGGTTTACTGTGAATTCCCAAGTCCTCCCCCCCATTAAAAGCATTCTTTCCCTAAGCTTACAGCATATACATAAGCTTCAATAAAATTATGCATATACACAGTGAAAGTTATAAGACCAACCTAAAACTTTTTGTATTTTGGTTAACAGCTCAGCCATATGGAAAGATTTGTTCAAGGTCAGCCATAGTGACTGTGCAAAGACGACAGCCAGAAAAACAAATGGCTGGAGTGATTGCTGCAGAAGAAGGTAAGTACAATTATCAATACTTCCAGTTTTAAGTTGATCTCTGTGGCTTGATTTTGAGTAAAATATAAAAAGGCTACAAATAATGTTTTTTCTATAAGGCTGTCATATGTCAGATCAGGAATAAGGACAAGGGTTGACTTGACATGCAGCCAGTCTTGTTGGACAAAAGCTTCTATCAAATACTACAACTCCAATCTAGAGTGAAAATTTTTTTTCTATTCCACATCCTCAAGAGAAGAATCCAGTCAGAGCATCCAGCCAGACTGAATGTTCACCAGTTGAAACCACTGATTTACCAAACAATTAATGTCCGGAGCTAATTTTCAGGCTTGATATTTTTGCCATGTTTGCAGGACTAATAGATTTCCCCCCATGTTGGCTCACATTACAGCACTTCAGGGACATAGAAATATAGAAATAAACAGATAAATAAACATGCCAAGTGATAAATGTCCAGAGACGCTCTTTGTCTGTGGTCCATGTTCATCTATACTAATTTTTGAACCTTTGTGTTTTCTGCCAGTGACTGGTATATTTTTGGAGTGTGATGTGTTTGTGGCTAAGATAGAAAAGATAGAAGTCATGTCTACCAGCAGAGAGCTGTTTTTAGGAGAAGCTCCAACAGTACTGGAAGTACAAGCTTTTGATGCTGAAGGTATGTATAAACTTGAGTTATAAAAACTACATATTTGGGTTGCCTGTGGAACCTGTCCACAGGAATCCCATTCTAGGAACAGCATTTTTTGAAGATATCACCCCAAATAAGTGGCGTTTAGATTCTCTCCATCTCCTCAAAGTAAGACTTGAACTTTGGTTTTTGGTGAAGTTGAAATAGACCTCTACCTTGGGCAAAATGTTTTCCTATTTCAGACCACGAGTCATTCTCTTGAGAATAAAATTCCTTGTTTGAGTCATATCCATATTGATGTGTCTTCTCATGCATAACCACCTAACAAAGAAAATGATACTCTAGGGAATAACACGTGGTCAGAAATGGGACAACATTTTGCCCATAGTAAAGAGATCTATCGTCTGTTTCAACTGACACAAGAAGCCCATTAATGTTTGTTTATTCATTTTCTTTATATTTTTGTTTAGATAACATGTTTTCCAGTCTTGGTGCTCTATCGTTTATCTGGGACCTGATCTCTGTGGAAGGGGTTGGCTCTGTTAATGCTAATTCTGTTGTCAGGTAATTAATGAATGGACATAACACTTTTATTAATATATAGCTCGTATGTGCCCAGCAAACTTTGCAAAGAATTTCAAAGAAGTGTAAGAATAGCATTGAAAACTACAACAGATTTTTTTGCTTCTACAAACCCATATTCTAGATGTCGAGAAAAAAATAATCTTATCTTACTTTTTTTTTTTATAAATTGACATTAAAGATTTTTTATTTTTGTTTACACAGAATTGTTTCATTTGATGATTCTACATATGAAACGAGTAAAGAGGTTTATGATCTTGAATCAAAGGTAATTAAGCTTTTCAAGTCATAGTGTTCTGTAGGTATACAAAAAAAATATTCCATTAAAATCTATCAAATAGTTTCAGGAGATATATATGTCTGGTCGCTATGCTAATGATTATTTGTCTCACCCTCAGAACCTTAGGGGTAGTGAAGTTATTATTGAGCCAATCAATACAGGGACAGCAAAAGTCAGGGCAAAACTCAGAGGAGCAGTATTTGAGGTAAATATCACACGTCTAATTCATTCATTCATTCATTTAGTTGGTCAACTGCTGATTGATTGGGTAGTTATTTTGGACATTCATTGGAAGTGTGAACTTAAATCAATTATATTTTGCACAATGGTTTACAATTATTCTTTCATTCAGTCAGTGAGTCTGTCAGCCTGCCAGTCTATCAGTCAGTCTGTCATTCAGTCAGTCTATCATTCAGTCAGTCTATCATTCAGTCAGTCTATCATTCAGTCAGTCTATCATTCAGTCAGTCTATCATTCAGTCAGTCCTTCATTCAATCTGTCAGCCCTTCATTCAATCCGTCAGTCAGTCGGTCAGTCAGTCAGTCAGTCAGTCTATCATTCAGTCAGTCAGTCTATCATTCAGTCAGTCCTTCATTCAATCTGTCAGTCAGTCAGTCAGTCTATCATTCAGTCAGTCCTTCATTCAATCTGTCAGTCAGTCAGTCTGTCAGTCAGTCAGTCTGTCAGTCAGTCAGTCAGTCCTTCATTCAATCTGTCAGTCAGTCAGTCTGTCAGTCAGTCAGTCAGTCAGTCAGTCAGTCAGCCAGCCAGTCAGCCAGCCAGTCCTTCATTCAATCTGTCAGTCAGTCAGTCAGTCAGTCAGTCAGTCAGTCAGTCAGTCAGTCCTTCATTCAATCTGTCAGTCAGTCAGTCTGTCAGTCAGTCAGTCAGTCAGTCAGTCCTTCATTCAATCTGTCAGTCAGTCAGTCACTCAGTCAGTCAGTTATGACTGTTTCATTAATTTAGTTATTAATCTCCTCTATTTTGAGTAATAAGTTTTGTTAGAAAAATTTTAAGATTTCTATGATAATAGGCAAAATACTAACTAACCAAGGTTTAAGTCCTAGTGTATCATCAACTGCCATTTCCTGATCACTCATTTTTGTATTATATGATTCCTGTAGGATGTAAAGCCGTCATCTGTCAGGCTGATTGTATCAGACAAAGTTCTTCTTAGACCAGCACATGACATGTACATCATGACTTACACATGTGTCAAGTACTCAGTGGTTAGGCAACGGCAAGGCCATTCTACTGGTAAGCCAGCACAAAACACTCTTATTATTATATTCTACAGCTTGATAGCCCTATTCATCTTGTGGTAATGTTTTTCCATTTCTGACCGGGTGTCATTCCTTCAGAAATAATATTCTTTAACTGGACAACATCTCATTTGTTCTTTTCAGAGTTATCCATGCCATCATCCCAGTTCCAGTTCAACCTTTCAAATGACAAAGTTGGCTTCCTTGATGTACAGAAATCATCAGTGACTGGCATTGAAGAAGGATTTACCAAAATTACTCTGGTGGACAAAAGTATCCTTAGAGTTACTTATGGAAATAATTTCAAAAACGAATAGAAATAGCAAATATTTGAAAAAGCTACATATATAAATAGTCAGCTTCACTGTTCCCTGCGCCATCTTGAAAGGTGGCCGTGCCTTCGCATTGAAGCGAGACGAGCGGTGAGCTTGCAAAGTTAGAACCTTTTTTTAACACCTTGGACAATTATTCCCATGTCTCTATCTTTGTAAGCTCTCCATTCATCTCGCTTCAATGCAAAGGCATGGCTACCTTTCAAGATGGTGCAGGGAACTGTAAAGGGGACTATTTTTCACATTTGAGTGGTCTTCTTTGTGAACAAATGCTGAATGGATTTCTATACACAAAAACAGCTTCACTTCACCTTGCTTGAGACATGATACCTTAAAGTGCTTTTGATAATAATATTTGTACCATATACAAAGTGTTATCAGTGCCTTAATATCACTATATAGACATGATACACATTGAAGCAGGTCACCAACCAGAAGCAGCCATTCATGTAGTTGATCCAGTTTATCTTGGTAAGTGATTGAATACATAAACCCAAACCTGGGCTCTTCCCATCTAATCACCTGCCATGTTTTAGCAATTTGAATGTGCAATGGTTCTGCAATACTCCATTTTACAGTTCGATTCAGTGACCACGAATAATAGTTCCTAGCTGAGGCTGTAGTTACCCTGCATGATAAACTGTAGTTTTGCTATGCAAGGAAACTCCAGCCTCGGCTAGGAACTTTTATTTGTGGTCACTAAATCGAAAATGGAGTATTTAGTATGCTTATACCTCATTCACACCAAGGCTTAAACACGTTTTAAAGTGTTTTAACTTAACAGGTTTGGAAAACTATTTACGAACATTGCACAATATTTGGTAAAATAATGCATGTAAGCTATCCTTTGTCTTGCTCTGATAATATTTTAAAGAGTTTCATTATATTGTAGGTTTCTAGTTTCTCAATTTTTTTCCTAATAAAAACGTAGTTTAACTAAACACGTTTAGGTGTGAATGGGGTATTAAACTCATTGGTGAAGATGAGCTTGGGATTAGGTTCTAGAGGCACCAATTGGTCCACTCATGGCAAGGATGACCACCTACTGTTCACCACTTAGCACTAACCTTGCCCACTGTTGTTACCATCTGTTAAGAACCTACTCTGAACATATGCTTACCAGGGAAGGGATGGTGGGGCAAACACACAACAAAGCAAGCACACAAGCATGGGAAAGATCTGCTGCAATGATCTGCTCATTTAAGGAATCCTACTGTGGGATTAGGGACACCCTACATATTGCTGTTAAGAGAGAGAATGCTACCCAACAATGCCTTGATTTTGACTCTTCCTAGATACAATTTTGAGTTTGCCTTAGCTCAGTCTTAGCCTCAATATTGTGTACAAATTTGCTCTTTTTTTAAAATTAAGGTCCACTGTATAGTAAAGAATGTGCCTACTATGAAACAATACGAGTTGATTAAAATGCTACGTGCTTTGTTTGAATGGCAGGATAAGATTATTTTAATGCACAACAAAGACTAAGGCTGAGCAAAGGGGACTCAAAACAAAAGTATTACATTTTGCCCACATTACAGTATAAGACTTTGTTTAACTAGGAATGATTTTGAAAAAAGTTTTATTGACAGTTTTGGTTTTACAGGTTTTAGTATTGTAGGTGATAGTAACTGGGTTCTTGAAGTAGGCAAGGTGTATGCTGTATCTGTTCAATTATATGATAAAGACAACCACAAGATCTACATGTCAGAGGTATCAATTTATCCTTATTCAACAAATGGTTACTCAATAACCATGTAGCACTTTGAAAAAACGCTTCTAAAATTTGGGAGATTGAGACTTGGATAAAAATAATGGATGGTCATCAGACAATGTCCTGCCAAAATTGGAACTTGCCTGACTCAAGACTGAGGCAGGCAGCTGCGTAACCAGTACAGATTCAATACAATATGTATTTTTTGGTGAAAAAAGGCACAAAAACACTGGCAGCACTAAGTAAAGCCTACATTTCTATTCTTTATGAGTGCTTCATTTCTCTTATATTTTCCAGAATATTGAGGTCCAGACATCATTCAACACATCAGATTTTGAAGTGCTATGGTCATCTCAGAATGGCACCTATCATATCGTTAAGACCATCAAGAAAGGCCCCAGTCATATAAGAGCTGTTTTTACTGCTATCAAGATTGGTAGTTACTGTAGCTATCCAGTAAGTAATGTATAAAGACTATATTTCTTAGCATTTGAATGGCAGTGAGCTGAGATTGTGCTCCTTACCTTACCAGGGGGGTACTCCCCTATATTTGCTATACGGGTACGTGTACATGCCGCCAAACAGGGCATGGTTTTCAGCAATTCTACTCTGGAACAGGGTATATAAAACCTTGCTCGCTCTGTGACAAAGTATATGAAACCGTGCTCGCTCTGGGACAGAGTATATGAAATCACCCTCTCTCCTCTCTGGAACAGGGTATCTATTTTCGCAATACCGGAAAAGGTTATGGTTTTCAGTGATCTTGCTCTGGAACAGGGTATGAATTTCAGCAATTTTACTCTGGAACAGGGTCAGGGTTCAGAGGGCTCAGCAGCACATCCCTCCCCCGGTTCAAAATCCAAGAAACTCCATATCTACAGGGGGTGCAATGCAACGGCAGGATTTAAGGAAAAATAATTTGCAATCAATTGTCCATCAGGTTATGGATGCATGCGATAACCATTTCTTAATACGATACAGTAGCAAAATCCCCCCAAAAATCTTTGTTAATGAAGTAAATTCAATCATGTCAGCATGCGTTCAATAGAGTTATGGTGTCTTGCTCATCATACTAATCAAGCAATCAAAGCTCATATATACACTGTACTTTAGCTAAACTATAATTTGGAATGTATGGAAATAGTATTGTTTCTTCCTGCCTTCCACTGGACTCAAGGAAGCAAAATACTTCACTAAATATTGGGATACCTGTGAAATTCTACAGGTATCCAAAGCTGCCATTTTAACATAGTATTTCATCAATATTAATGAAGAAATAGAAAACGCTCGCGCATGCTGTGTGCAGTTATGAAGCACGTGGGGGTTGGCAGAACACAAGAGAAGTGTTAGGAGAAGCATGACGCGTAGCGGAGTGTTTCTCGCCACTTCTTGAGTGTTCTTACTATCCCAAAGTGCTATATAACTGCACACAGCACAGCAAGCAAGTTTTTTTTTCTTTTATAAAATACACATTAGTGCACATGCTTGCTGTGTGCTCTCATAAACCACATGCTCCCAATCAAACAGAATGCGAGATTCATAACAGTTATTTTATAATATCATTTTTATCAGTCACATTGGCTTGAACGGCCAGTTGACAACATTTTTCTAATTGACTTTCAACAGAGAAGTCATAACTTTCTTTTTATTACTTTTATAGGAACCTATCCTAAAGGATGTCATCACCCTCGAATCCCCCATCTCCGGGCAGCAAGATGTAGAGATATTTGAACCAGTAAAAGTCTTACCTGATGAACTAGTTTTCCCTTGGCATCCAAGTATTGGGCAAAGGGTGCAGGCTGTCCATCAATACCACTATCAACTCAAAGTAAGATTTTCTTAAAAACTGTTGGGTAATTTATTATTCTGGGCTACCAGTGCACTAACCATAGGAAGCCCAGAGGATAAAAATTTGCTTACAATACAATGTAATAATCTTTATTTAACGAGGAAAAATGTATTAACCATAATTTATCTATCATATGGCCCTCGCTTGCTTGAGACCACAAAACAATGATTTCAAGTCGAGGTTAGACTTCATGTATTCATACATTTACTGTATTTTATCAAGTCTGCTATTGATCCATAGCAGTATTAACTCATAGACTCTGTTTAGGATACTTGGTAATTTTAATTAATGAATTGGGTTACCTATGTAACCAATAATATTTATTGACTTTGGCTTCTAAAATGTTTTTTTTTTACAGGCAATAGGCGGCAGTGGTTCATATATCTGGACATCCTTTAACTCATCAGTAGCTTCAGTCAATACTAAAGGTGTCGTCATGACAACAACTAATATTGGACACACCCAAATCAAAGCCGCTGACACTAGGAATGTTGAGCACTTTGACACCATGAAGGTGAGTTAGATGTTTTCGCATAATTTGTTTTCTATAGAGGTTTTGCACCATCACATGACAGCAGCCATGTTAGATGGCAGATAAATTGCTTTACCTTGGTACAATGTTAACTCATTTCAGACCATGTGTCATTCTCTTGAGAATAACATTCTTTGTTTGAGTTGTATCCTGACATATTCATGTGTCTTTTCATATGCAATCATTAAACAAAGAAATAGTAATCTAGAGAATGGCACGGAGTTTAGATCTGAAATGGGACTAAACATTATGCTCAAAGTGATTAGCAACAATGGTTATAAAAATTTCAGCATGAAAGGCACATTCTCAACTGATGATAGTAATAGTAAAATGAGGCTGTTGAAAGAAATGGAAGAATCACTATGATTGTACATTTAAAACTCCAGCAGAGCTGACCAATTTACCATTATTTTGATGACAGTCTGTATTTTGATGTCTATTTTGTGTGCATTGTTACTTTAGGTATACGTGTTGACTCCTACCAAAATGAACTTCATTCCTTCGCAAGTTGAAACAGAAGTTGATACAGAGCTACTGCTACCTCTTGTGGTTGCTGCTCCAGTACATAAAGGTTTGTCTAGCCAGTATGTCTTGTGAGTGACTCAAGTAGAGTGCAAATAATATACCCGTGAAATAGATAGCTAGCTAACTAATTACTAACTTTGTGGTATTGGTTGCCTAAACCGTGATGGGTAAACTAGTGCACGTGTGCTACTCAAGGCATGCATTTTTAAATATTTTTAAACACATATACAAAAACTGAAACTATTTTATTGTACATGCTTTTTCTTTGTATAATTTTACATGTTTGCATTTTCGTATCTATTCATTTGCATATTAATAATTTGTCACTCTATTAAACACCTGTGTCCTTGTCGTGCCTCACTGAATTCCTATGTGTTGTCTAATTAAGCGCTAACTATCTCCTATTTCAACTTAACTATTTCACGGGTATATTATTTGCACTCTACAATACAACAGCGTCATAACATCCATGCAGAGCTCAAAATAGCGACCTGCAAATGGTCAAATATCAGGCCTGATTTTCAGGTTTAATGGGCAAAAATAATTTTAACTGCCAAATGAATTATAAAATGGCAGGTGAAATTTGTTTTGCCTACTAATGGAAAAATTTTAAAAAATGGGAAGCTAATTTTTTTCTTATTTCAATGGTTTCATTTCCACCCCTTGACCATGATTGTCATTGTCAACAAAATTATCATAATCATCATTGCCTTGGTCATTTTCATCTTGGAATATTTGTAATTAGAATTTATTTTATTATATATTAATTTATTATTAATACTATTTATTCAGGGCTAACCTCGTTTCACTGTCAATATTTTCAAATACAGTCATAATAAATAAACAATGACCAACTTACACAATACAAACAATGAAATTCAAAATCCTAAGACCTTCACTGAAACACATGAATATTCTACAAAACATCAAACTAAGGCTGAGCAACAGAGAGTTCAAACATGGAGTTATATATACTAAACCTGTTTTTGTTGAATTTTCTAGGTTCCCAAGAGCTTCATGTGTTCTCTGATTGCAAGGCACTTGCTCTAACATTCAGTTTGTCTGATCCCTCAGTCTACCGTATCGTTGAAGGAGATGGTATGTTACACAAACTTTATAGTGGATTATAGTTTGAAATTACATATTGCGCACCTTATTAAATCTCCTGCTATGTACTATAGTTTATTTTACATTTGCATGCATTTATTTAAACCAGCCACAAGAAACAATAGAATAATGCACACTTACTAGTAAACATTTCAAGGGCAAGTCTAGAAAATAATTTTGTCAGAGAAGAAAATGGGCATCTATAGCTTTTTTTAGGGTAGTTAGTGGTTAATTGGTCAGCCCTTAATTTCATATGCAGAAATTTTTACATAAAATTTGTAATAAGCAGAAAATGGATTTTTTTATGCGCCTGCTAAAGAAAACCCAGACATTTTAGACTGCAACCATGTGTGGTCAGTAAAACACAAAAACAGCACTTCAGATTAATCCTTGTCAACCAACTGACAGTCCTTTGACTTTCATTTGATGGCCATCTGCTGGCTTTTTGTTTGTTGGTCATTCAATGGCCATTTGACAGCACACCAACAGTAAGTTGTTTATCAATCTTACAGCTGTGTAACTGAACTGACAATGAGACCTTGGTTGATTGGGCCTTCTCAAACTCGACTTGGATGCAAGGCTAACATGGAAATACGAAAGAAATCACACTTTTTTTCTCTATGGAATTTGTAACATTTCTTTTGTATTTCCATGTTAAAAAAGCAACCAGCAAATTGGTAGGTTGTTTATCTACTCAGGCCCTTTCCTACCCCTTGAGTTGTTTGATGCTTTGTTTTCATTCCAGATAATTATGAGATTGTACCTGGTAGCTGTATGTCGGTCAGGTTACATGCCCTCAGAGCTGGATTCACCACCCTCACAGTATCTTACCAGTACAAAGAAATACAACTGAAAGCAACTGTGACCATTGGGGCTTATTACACATTACAGGTACATGCAACAGAATCAGTAATGTAAGGATTTTTATCCATAAAGCTCCCTATCAACCCCACAGCTAAAGCAGCAACTCAATCAAAAATCATCTGACAATCAATCAATTATTCCATCAACCAATTCATGTTGAGTCTATTAAACCTTTCTTTTTTTCTCTCTATAGGTTCTTGATCCAAGTGATGTAGCAGTAGTGACAGTTGGATCAATAAAGAACATCATGTTAGGTGGAGGACCTTTACCCTGGATCTTGGACACTTCTGGATACTATGAAAAGGGTATGTATTACCTACTAGCTAGGGCATGCCCAGGGGTGAGTTCTGGGACCCATTTTTGAGATCCAAAATAGCCCATTTCTGAGATTTACTTAAAACTGTTTGACTTAGAAGTAATGATAAAAAAAGTAAATTATACACCGTGAAAAAATGAAAAAATGAAAAAGCTAGTCCTTCATCCTTTCTCTTTTACTCCGACGAAGGACTAGCATCCAAAACGTCAGTACGTTTTTCATTAGAAACACAGACGCAGCTCACACTAGTTTTTAGCTAGTTATCTCTGCTGTTTAACTTAGCATGTTTCTCATCTCTAACTTTCTCTTTTCAGTTGACGCAGAGCAGAAACTCTTGGTTGAGATCCACAATGGTCACACAACTGATTATTTTGGTAAGACATTTGATTGAAATCTAGATTTTCCTATTTAAACCTAGTGGGTATCACAGGAAAGGGAAAGGGATATTTAGGAGTTCATTGAACACACAATATTAAAGATATTGGTGGTTAATTACTCTCAGTAACCACTGCCCTCTCTCCTTTTCAGTTGAATCATCAGGAAGCTTCCACTACTTTAATGTTTTATGTCATGAACTTGGAGAACAGGTTAGTGACAAGTTGTACAAAATACAAATAGAGACCATACACATGAGGACAACAACACCAGGACGGCAACACTAGGATGATTCAAAATGGTTTTCATGCACATGCCATCATGCATCCTTGCTTGCCATTGCTGTTCTCTCTAGAGTAAAAAAGCATCAACTGACGTTCTAGCAAGGATGACAATGTCAAGACCAATGGCACGTGCATGAAAACCATTTTGAAAATGTGCTTGCATCATCATTTTGATGTAGCTATTGTTGATGCTTGTCAATGCATAAGTTCTCTAATACCTCTCCAGAGAGGGTCTAACCACTCAGAAAAATTATTTAAATTATCTTCTCTGGTTTGTCTTTCAGATTCTTACTGTTAATATTGGAAACCATCCAACAGCAAAGAACGTGTACCCTGCTAACTCTTCTGCAAAGATCAGGTACTTTGCAAAAATGAAATTAAAATAATGTTATTATTAAAAATTATTGCAGCAGTAACAAATTTTGGAACTATTGAGTGAATGCTGTGGCTAATTTTGTCAGGAATTTTACAGCCTGATTCATGTTTCTGTGACCTAACCAACTCCAGACATGTAACAATATATGTTTTCTGTCAATCAAATTTAAAATGGGCCGAGTTCAATTCTAGTGCATCTGATCAAGAGCAATATATGTTCCCATGACTCAACAGTCATTTCCCCATGGCTTTGAAAATGACATTGTAAATATAAACTTTAAATCCTTACTATATGTGTGATAGTCTTCGGTTGGTTATGTCTCGATTTATTTGTTTTATCTTGACTCTATACTACATGTATTGATCAGTACGCGAACTGATATATATCTGGCGTACATGTGTATATATATACAATTACAATCATGTGATTAACTATAACGTAACTAGTTAAACAAAGATGCATTGTCACACAATATCATATAATGTTACATCCTCCTCTCAACGAACTACAAGTCAAACTTTGTTGTTGGTTTGACAACCCGTCCATATCTAGTTGTGTAGTTTGAGGGCGTGTGTTCATGCCACTAGTACTTTGTGGTACTTGGTCATCTGCTGGTGGCTTTGGTGGTGTATCTTGCTTTTGTACTGCTGTATCCAGTCGCAAGTCAGACCTTGTTCTGCGATATACAGTTTCATTATCATGCCTTTTCACAAGGTACGACCTTGGTTCTCTAGCTTGTTGCTGTACTACTGCTGGCTCCCATGTCTTCCATCTGTGATCATACATGCGCACTGGTTGCCCACCATATAAGGGTTGTTGTACTCTTCCAGTGGTACGGTTATAGTA